CTAGTAAAATTTACTGTATTTCAATGCATTTCTATTACAAATTAGGGAACTTAATAACTTGCCTATGCTAATAGATCTAGGTACCTGTATTATCATAACTCCCTAAAATATCATTTTGAATTATAAATTGCATTATTCACATTGAAATATGAAGAAAAAGATATCTAATCCCAAGTATTTCAATCATAATAAAAATACAGACAACTTAACAAAGCAAATGTACGGTGTCATAAAATATTTTGCAAATCATATGAAATACTAATGTGAACATAACAAAAGACTCACCATGCAGGCAGTACTCCACATATCAGCAGGACAACCATAACCAGCTCCGAGCAGGACTTCCAGGCACCTGTACTGTCGGGTCTGGATATCTTCAGTGAAATGATGATCCACCCAGCAAGCATTTCCTAAATCAGCCAGCTTGACCTTCATATCACACACTTCATGAACTGGGTCTGGCGTGCGGTCAATGGCTTTGTGGTCCGGGCATGAGGCTACTCTGCGCATTCCGACTGCACTGCCACTGTTACTGCCTCCACTTGTGTTACTGGAATTGGCTCCTCCATCCTCACCTTCTGTGTATTAAAAGAACACTATTAGTATTGCCATGTGGGGAAAGGAAAAGTTTCCTATATTAGACAACTATTAACATTATTTTCTTAATTTTGTTATCATGATGCAGAATAACTCTGTAGTCAAAAGCTTGTATGTATATGACAAACATACTTTTATCTGATTTTTCTTTTTTTTTTATATCTATCACCTTGATTAAAATCTACCTTCCCATAAAACATATGTGGTTAAAAAAGTCCTACATGCATATCAGAAAAGAGAGAATTAACTCTACATGTAATAAGTGTATGTAAATCTTATAAAGCAAACTAAATCCATTTTCCATGGTAACCAATATAAACAAGGTTTTACTAGATTGTCCTTCTTTAGATTGATTAAATAATTATGATAATTGCTTTCAAGAAGAACAGGATAATTCTATTTATTACCCTCACTATGTACAAAAAGGCATATATAATAAATATTTTGTATAGAATGGCAAAAATACTGTTAAATAATATAAAGAAGAAAATAATCATAAAATTATCATTAAGCACCTTCATCCTCGGGGGGAAGCCTCATGTCTGGGGTTATCTCAGACTCTGAGCGACCTAGTGTTGGGCGAGGACTGTCGTGGCCGTTCATGAGAGGGTCTAGTGAGAGCCCCACTGCCCCACCTGGTCGCACATCGCCCTCACACATCTCAGCTAGACTCTTGCGGTGTTCTGAAGTTTAATCACAACACTTGTTAATCATGCATGAATTACTACAAGACAACCTTGACTGAGAGAAATGGTCCACCTTATCAGTCAGCCAAGAGTTCTGTTAGTCACAGATTAATGCTAAATAAAGCTTACTTGATTCAAACTTTTCAGGTACTGAATTCCTTTGACTTGAAAAGTTTTGTCATGCATAACAAATGCAAATGCAATGTTCATTTTGAAAGAACCAGTTTCCTTAAAATCATATATAATAGTTTCTTGAAGCAACAGATAGAAGACTCAAAGTTAATGAATAACCACATAGAAAGGGCAAAAATGCAAGACTTGAGCCTGTTTCCTCTAACCCCTCGGATCATGATGACTTGACCATCATGTTAAAATAAAATTTAGCAGAGGGGTAGTTGACAGGAATATGCTACCATGGAAAATTATGACTGAGGGCCAGGGAGACAGGAATATGCCATCATGATGTGAGGGGGGGATGTGAGGAATGACTTGCTCTTGGAGTGTGATTAGGCTCAGTGGACATTTTAGAAGGGGATCTTGCTTTATTTTCATCTTTAAACGAGCGTGAACCATCCATAAGCCATGACTGGAAAAGCTCCAGCTCCAGGGAGGACACCATTACCATGCTCAGAATCCTATTTCTGCCTATTGCCATCAGTGGCACAAGATGTATAACAGAAAATTGAATACTATGAAAATATTTAAAAATTATAAAAATAACAAATGTTACTTATCATTATCATTAATGTTTTGAGTAATAGACTACTAGAGATGATAAGGAGTTTGTGCAAGAAAAACAATCTATCATCATCTTGATACAGCATATCAAATGACAAATATAGCCCTTGAAAAATGGAGAATAAAAGAACAAGGAGTCTTTACACTGCGCACAAGTGTTCATGTGGCCCGGGCCTACAAGCCACACACGCAAGAGAGTTGCCACTCAAGTAAGCCTAATGCCCAGATTTTGGCATTTAAAACCTATCTTAGACATCAACTTAAACTGCCTCTTAGAAATCAGTCCTTTAACTGACTCCAATGGATCAATACAGACACATCTACACACACATGCAAAATATATACATACATGCAAAACACACATACACATACACAATTAATATCCTTGTTAATAAACAAATTTTCATTTCTATGGGTATGCATCTACCATGTTCCCAGGCTACCTACTTGAACCTCTGAACTGAATCTTAGAAACTCCCTCACACAGACATAACAACTTGACACAAAGACATTCCCTCCTTATTGCAATGTTAGCCCCAACCAGCAGAGGACAAAAGAGCACCCCGACACTCACCAAGCTTCTGCTGTGCCTCCTCCTCTAGGGTGAGGCTTGGGGTAATTAGGCTGGGCTGTGGGGGTAGCTTGGGTGGAGGCTGCACTGTCTCTTGTGAAGTGTCCCCTACTTGGATCTTTACGGTTTCCTCTTCCAGCACTTCCGGTGGCTTGTCGCTCTGCTGTCCATTGGTCTGAGGTTCCATAGTGCTGCTCTCTTCTAAACTTGAGTCATTACTTAGCACTGGAACACACAAATCCAAATTAGTAAAAAAAAAAATGTGGATATGTAGAAAATAGACATCTTTTATGCTTGAAGTAATCATACTTGATCTACAAACTACTGAAATAAAGGAATTATTCTTTGACTGGTGCAATCAATATCTTTTGATATATTTATATAATTAATTTTACAATCTGATAAACTCAAAGTCGTCAGGGATATCATGTTTCATGCATGCCATGCCCACTGTGAGTTGAATATATTAATTGCTTTTACACAGAGATGGCTACATATGTACTAAGTCACCAATGAGCCAATTATGAATACTACATATTTCACCTGTTTACCCAGCGATGCACAGAGACATTTCACAAAGCAATGCTACAGTGAACACATCTTTCCAGAGACTTTGGGTTAAATTTAATATATCTGAGTGTGTACCAATGAGTATTATACTTTATAGAAAAAAATAAAATAAAACAAAACAAAGTTAAAAAAAAACAAAAACAATAATAATAAATAAATGATAAATAACAAATCAAATAATTAATCAACTTTCTAAGCATCGGAAAAAAAAAAAAAAAAAAAAAAGCTTCCATAAACTCAGACAGTGTGAGCCTGCTTACCAGAAGTGTTTGGCGTGTGCAGTTCGCAAGCCTCGAGAGCTAGACGTGCTTCCCTCTCTTCTAGTTCTTCCAGCTCCCTCATTTGGTTCTCCAGCAATGCCTGCTTTGCCTTTTGCTTTTTCTTCAGTTTTTTCTTCTTATTTTTTGACATTTTGGCATTTGGATCTGGTTGAGTGTAATGCTTTGGGGCAGTGCTCACTGTTGGGGGAGAGGACACAATGAATGTCTTTTGCATTTTCTTAGCACAGATCAACCCAGCAGTAGCAGCTGAGATAACATACCCATTGAAAGGTAACTTGATAAAACAAAATGATAAGAAAGAGGAAAAGAGCCCCCCCCCCCCCACACACAAGGCACACACAAGAGACACACAAGACAGACAGACAGACAGACAGACAGACAGACAGACAGACAGACACACACACACACACACACACACACACACACACACACACACACACACACACACACACACACACACACACACACACAAACAAAATCACATATAAACAAGAAGAAAGAAAGAAAAACAACAGGGAAACCAAAAGTGAGGGAGGGAACGGACTCCATCATGCAGTGGAACGGCAGCCACTACCTCCCATCTCCCTCCCTAATTCCCCCGGGGAACAAGATGCTCATCCACACCCTGAGGCAACTGAGACATGCACCAGAAAACTGATTGCCCGAGGGATCCCTCTTGCAGCAGGAATTTCCAAGGAGGGTGCAGGCAAGTCAGCCTTTCTATGCTTCTGCTTGGGCCAAGCAACGTGGGTAGCAGGAAACATGTTTTTGCTTCTTTTCATACAGCTGATATTGATGCTGTTACCATCCTTTGTTATAATGCTCCTGTGATTTTACTGGATCATACAGTAATGCTTATGAACACTGGATAAAATTATCAATGCATAAATACAGTACATATTCACGAATGTAGAAAAATAAAATGATAATAATAAACATGAAAATATTTCAATATATCTAAGCCATGGGATATATGTTAGAACACACTTATGAAGCAAGTCATGGTTAATATATCACAATGAAATTGACATATATACACAAGCATACATATGCTAAAGTTATTCATATATAATAATATAAAAAAAAAAAAAAAAAAAAACTCTTCTACCTATTTATCTCGCCTACAACTCATGGTTCCTTAATCTGATACTATCATTATCCAATATATATATACATATATAAAATACAAGCATAAGCAAGTTCCAGTCTTATGCCTATTCTTCAGTCCCTCTAATCCAACAACAGAACTTACCCAAAGAACCAGGTAGCTTTAGTCCCATTTTCTGCCACTGAGTTGCCTCATAAGCAAGTTTTCTGATGTACGACTCATCCACACACACAAGGATATTTTCTGGCTTGATGTCTGTGTGGATAATTCTGCATTTTGTGTGTAGGTAATCCAAGGATTCCAGCACCTGAAATTACAGGGACCATTATAGTTTTATTCCTCACTACCTCAAGAAGGAAACCCCAGAGAGAGAGAGAGAGAGAGAGAGAGAGAGAGAGAGATAATGAGTAATACTAAAGGATATTGTGGGTAAACTACAACAAAATCCACAGGAAAACAAAAGATGGATGCAAAAGAAATATATATATATGCAGGGCCACACTGACTTTTGGCTTATGAAGTTATAAGGCCCCATTCAGATGGAGCCACCCTCTAACTCATCTAAACCAGTCTTGAATGTTCTCTACTTGTGACTTAAAAAAGATTTTATAAAATATATGCTAAAGTATTTTTTATCTATCTTTTATATCTTCAATTACTTTTTTCTTTTGAACAGCCAAAAAAATGAGCTAAAAATCAATATATAAGCTATGTTCACAAATAACGATTTAACAAGATGATAAACAATCATGGACTAGACCCTATGATTTACAGCTAGGGCCCCATACGGTGAACAAAGAGCCGTACATAGGGGCAAATTATCTCAAATAAAAGCCTTCAAACTGGGGCCCTGTATCACAATCATGGCCCGAAAAACTTTTGTTTTAATTGGATTTTCAGATTTTCATGCATATCCAATTATAATTTTTCAACATAATAAAATAAATCACTTAAACAGTAACACACTGATTTCAATACCAACCTGACGAATAATGCTCTTGACATTTTGAAGTGGGATCCCCTGGTAATTGGAGCGGATGATAAACTTAAGGAGGTTGTGACCCAGCACTTCAAACACCATACATACATGAGTTCCATTCACACCGCTGATCTTGAAGTCGTCCAATAGCTGGACAGTCTTGTCCCGCTTTGGATCATTCTCGTCAGCTTCCCGAACCTGTGGTGTGAAAGAACCAATTCAAAATACAGAACAAATACACATACATCTCCTAAAAGCATAAATTTGAGCAGCTATCCCATTGAGGCTCATTATATCAACAAATTAAAAATCTCTCCTGCATTATACTTACACATTTTAGTAGCTTGATTTCATCTAAGGCAGTCTCTGTGTAATGAGACGCACTCTTCACAACTTTGAGGGCTACAAAACGTTTTGCTCTGGAATAAAACAATTGCATTAGAAAAGGTAAGGTTTCTTAATATTAGAGTCATTCATATAATGTACATAAAGTTAATAAATTAGCAAGAGTTCAATTTCATTATATGATTAATTATTCGTTTTAATTTCTTGCTTTGATTCTGCTTCAAAATGGGAAACAAAAATATGAAGACTGACAGAGGACTTTGCACTAATAAATTTCCTTGATGTGGAATGCACTAACTTTTACTTGAATTTAGTCATCTTTGTATAAAATAAGGATAATCAGAATTCTACTAAAAATTTTCTTTAATCCCTTAATCCCGTGCACAACTATAGCTGTCATAATGTAATGGCCTATGACGTATATGCATTATGAATTGCAACAGGTGGGCTGGTTGCAAACAGCTTAAGACTAGCCACAAAGTCTAGACTGTTGCACAGTACTACATACCAAAAAATCTGGCCCCGTCAATGTAGGGTTAAGGTATACTAGTAATAAAAATAAATGTATATGTATTTTTGGAATGTATGTTTCAAAAGTGATTGTTTTTGTGTACATGCTTATATCTGTAATTAGGAGTGTGCTGGGGGGTTTCTCTCTCTTATAAATTACTTGATTAAAATAAAGCTGAAACATTAAATCCAACTTATTGATTTTTCTTGTACACATTTATTGCTTACTGTAATCCTTCAGTTTACCTATGAATACCAAAAGAAAATACACAACTTGAAATAAAAGGTTCTATACAGTACATAGCACACCTAATTCATTCGCAAATTTCAAAAACTCTCTCTCCATGAACTTCTCAAACATAAAAGACATACTAACTTCTTACTCTTACAAGAATAATCTACCGCAAATGTGAAGAAAGCTTCTTTGTTTATGAACAGAATTCAGCCCCAGAAAGAAAAGACATTCTCCTTATTGCACAGAGATTGCACAAAGGCCTTCAATGTCTCCAGTAACTCAGAGCTCTTTGAAAACGGGCTGAGGGAAGGGGGGGGAACTTGGGCTAGGAATGTAAGGAAATACAGAGAGAGGTCGAAAGATATGATAATATGAGAGAAGTCAGACATGAGAGGAAAGAGGAAACTCATAAAAGGAAAGGGGAGATCTGACAGAAAGAAGGAGAAATGGCAGAGGAAGTAGCAGTATTGAGGGAATGAGGGTGGATACTTAAAGAGGGAAGGGGAAAAGAGAGAGAGAAAAAAAATAATAATAACAGACAATGAGACTAAATGCAATATACACAAAAAAACATAATATATGTACATATATATAAATATATATACATATACATATATATATATATATATATATATATATA